CCTCGACATAAATTCAATAAACGGCAAAGGCTATGGATTGACATCCATGGTTTGGCATAATGTTTTGTGTATCTGCTCTATGTAATTATTCTTTCCCCTTGACGGAGTTCTCGGCCCTGCGTGGCTTTTCCCACACTCGGAAGTTGCCTTATATCGTTTTCATGGGCAAATATGAGCTTGGTCGTAAACGTTATTGTTTTTTATATCAGTTCTACTTTTGCCTTCGACTACATTACTCTCTCTCTCTCTCTCTCTCTCTCTCTCTCTCTCTCTCTCTCTCTCTCTCTCTCTCTCTCTCTCTCTCTCTCTCTGGCAGATAGTTTGGCTAAAAAAAATTTTTTAGTCGTGACAAGTTTATGCTTCTGGCAATAGTTAGCCTTCGCATTGTTCTCCACAAGTAGACTGGAAGGATATAGTTTTGTCGCGCATCTGCTGAGCTGAGTCTATGACACGACACTGCAAGCTACTGATATCATTTGGAATGATCTTCAGTTGTGTCTTGTGTGGTTTGTGTTGTAAATTGAAGATTAAGAAAATGACGAGTGGCATGTTGCCAGAAAACATGTGTGCCTCATACGACTACTTGCATGTGTAACGGCTGCTTCCATCGATGAAGAACTGGAGTCAAACTGTTTGTGTTGGCCCCTCTGACTACTGTCTTGTGCATTTAATGCGTGTGTATGCTGCTGGCGTTGCTGAGACTGTAGTCTGTGTCAATTCTTTTCTCAACGGAGTTTATAATTAACGTTCTGTGTAGTTCTCGTTGGCACAGGAAAGGAATAACTGTGGGATGACCCGTTTATGAAAAATTGAATTGAGATTATCTGATGCGCACGTGCACACATCGTGATTTGCCAAGCGACAGATGACCAAACTGACAGACCTGCTTACAATATATTAACACAAATAGCCAGGGGCGCCGATATATTTGAGAGTGTGGTCTCAGTTCAAGCTCCACCCCATCTTCTACGAGATGGAGGCGCCCAGTTTTCTATTCATAGTTTCTTGCTGCTTCTAGCCCAAGTCGTGTGGTGTTGTTAGTCATGTCGATCCACAAACTTCTGTCTCGTGTGCTTTCAATCAATTCTGACACAGATAACTTCCATAGTTTATGCAGTGTAGCGTTGGTAGTCGTGTCTTTCAAAAACCTCCTGTCTTATGTGTTTCCAATCAGTTCTGACACAGATTACCTTTCATAGTCCATGCGGTATGGCGTTGGTAGTAATGTCAATCCACAAATTCCCCCCCCCCCCACCCCCGCATACTTTTATTCAGTTCTGACACATACGATCTCCCATAGTTCATGTCGTGTAGCGTTGGCAGTTTATCCACAAACTTCAGTATCGAGTACTTTCAATCAGTTCTGACATAGATGATCATCCATATTCGGTGCCGTGTGGTGTTGGTAGTCATATCTGTCCACTGCCTTCTGTCTCGTAAACTTTCACTCACTTCTGACATAGTCTGTGTCATTGTCAAAGACGACTGGAAAGGGTGATTGAAAAACTTGAACATTCGTTGATGTGTTTATGGTATCTCATAGATTTTTTTAAACATTTAACTTGTCTGTCTCTTTTTCGGTGACAATTTCCTGTTTCTGGTTCCCCAAATGAAAGATTTTTACCATCCCCTGTCTTGTAAGAGTTCAGCCATGCAGAGTTCATTCAGGCATCGTCTTGTGTTTTGTCAGAATTTACTCACGCGGAAAATGACAGGTACAATATCGATAACTCGAGTTATGGTTTAAGATACACACAATAGGCTGTTCAGTGTCTCTGTGATATTGACAAACAAATTAGCTACAACGTTGATCAGTAAAAGATTCAAAAAAAAAAAAAAGCTCGCTAGTGGCTGGCAGAATCGATCTCCACTCATGGAGAGTGACAATTTATCTGCTAATACAATAAAACTATGGGTTGGGAAGGGGTGGGTGAGGGGGAAAAAAAGGGGGGAAGGGGGAGGTAGATTCATTCACCTTTTTTTGCGAATTATATATAGAACAGAGAAGTCGTGGTAGCTTCGTGGCTAATGCTTGCCTGACGCTCAGAAAGTCTTGGCTTCAAATCCTCACTTGGCGGACTTTATTAAAAAAAAAAAAAATGAATTCTTTAATTGATTTTATTTGTTTCATTTATAGTCTTCTTCTAATTTCTTCATTTTTTTTTCGTTGTTTCTTTTTAGTCTGGCATCTTAGAATATTTAAACGGCGACTATCAATTGCTCTTCAAAGACTAAAACAACTGAATAAATTATGGAATTGTACAGATAGAATTACAAAGGTCAGATTTTTAAGAGCATGCATCTTTCCCATTGCAACATACGCCTGTGAGACCTGGACACTTACTAAACAAGCGGAACAGCGCATAAATGCATTTGAATATAAATTTTACAGACAGGTTCTAAGAATATCTTGGGTAAAGAAAAGAACAAATGCATCCATACTTCAAGAGCTGAATATTGAAGAGGGTTGGCTAGTAAAGACAATAAAACAAAGAAAATTGAAATATTTTGGTCACTTGAAACGTCATGGAAGTCTAGAGAGAACAATAATGGAGGGGTATATGCCTGGGAAGAGAGGAAGAGGAAGGCCAAGGAGAAGATGGGTGCAGGATGTGGCAGATGATCTCCAGATGGGTGTATCAGACGCAGGACATCTTGCTCAGGATAGGAAGGTTTTCCTGAGGGTTGTTATGGCAGCGAGGTTCCGCGAGGGACATGCTACTGAATGAATGAATGAATCTTAGAATATCTGAGTCATTCAATATGGCGCCGTACCCAGAAGGAACGTTTGCTGTAAAGGATCTCTAACATTCTTTGTTTTCCGCTTTTGATGTACGCTCTCCCAGACTGCTGTTCATCCATCTCTTGATGTTTTCCTTCCACTTGCAACTCTATCTGCCTCTTGCTCGATACACTTCAATTTTTCTGTTCAATATGGTTTTTATTATTTGTTCTTGTGTGTGCGTGTGTGTGAGTGTGTGTGTGTGCGTGGATGTGTATGCGGGTGTGAGTGTATATTTAAGCGCGCGGGTGTGTTTGTGTGCGCAAGTGTCTGTGAGAGGGCGTTTCGTATCAGTGTTGGCCAATATGTATGTGTGTACTTACGCATGTTTGCGCAGCGTGTAAGTGTGTGTATGCGTGTATATATATATATATATATATATATATATATATATATATATATATATATATATATATATATATATATATATATATAAACGCGCGGTGCGTCTTTTAATATGGCTGAAATATTTCACGTAAATTTTTTGTAGCAGCCTTCTGGAATTCTTTTGGATGTGGAAAACAGGAACAGTTTCCGGACGTGGCTTCACCAGGGCCCACAACTGCTTGCAGACAATGGAAGACAGTTCGCCTTTCACTTTTAGCGGTTAGGCTGGTGTGTTTAGCTTATGTTGTCTTATGTTTACCCTTGCTTAACTTCATGTTATCTGCACGGGTGAACAAAATATAGCTGCGGAAATTGGGTTAGAAGTGAAAAAAGTTGGTAGATTAAGGACATCGCCCAGTAAAACTTTATGCGGCTACGAGACCGCTTTCAGTTCAAGTGAATGGTGATCAGCAATCAGCTGTTGCCCTCTAACCAGAGATGACAATTCAACTGTCACTATTATTACGCGGAGAAGCCGTGGTGTAGCGACTAGACGTTTGCTTGTTGAGCGGAAGGTCGTGGGTTCAGGTCCTAGTGGAGTGGAGCTTTTTCTCTCTAAACAAAAGTGACCTTGGCTGCCATGTCGACCCAGCCAGGGTACAAGGTGAGGTCCTGGGAGGAAGTAAAGGCGTCCGGCGTAATGTTGAACAGCTGAACTGACCACTGACAGTGACCCCATCGCTCACCCAGATTGGACTATAAAATAGAGTAAATTCATAATTAATTTACATTTATGACTGATTGTTAAGCAATGGGTATTTTCTACCATGGGAGCCTCACTTAACTTACGTTTTCATTTTCTTCTTTTGTCTTAAAGTGCCACAGAGAGGTGAAGCTCCTGTTAACAGCATATTGCATTTTTGTAGTTTCTATTTTATTTCCTCTACCCATGTCTTTTTTGGTCTGCGTCTTACCATTTAGCCTGCTATTCTCAGGTTGTACACTCAAGCTGCTCGCTGATTTTCTCCCATTTTGACCAGAAGACCAAACCATTTCATTGTTCATGTTCTGTAACATAATTTTTTGGCTCTCCTGTAAACAACGGCCGGTAGACAACAGTTGACAGCCGGTTAGTCGGAGTTCTGTCCCCTGGCTGCAGTGCAATTACGGACTGGCACGAAGGCACAAATCAAACAACAAAGTGAGGTCGAAATGTCTGGCAGAACCCGCGCTGCTACTCAAAGTAGCGACCGTGTTCAAATACCCCTTCTTGCGACGCATTACGGAGTGGATTAGAGGGACGGACACAAGTGACATAGTTACTGTGTGTTGGCGATAGACAGCGTGCAGTGCCCTACTGTCATCATACGGTTTGGGTTAGGGGTAGGGTTTGGGTTAGGTTTAGGGTTTGGGTTGCTACGTTGAGTTTCTGCGAAGACGAGATGCGGCGACACTAACCGCAACGCTAACCCTAACCCAAACCCTAACCCTAACCGTAACTGTATGATTATAGCAGTGCAGTGCACGCTGTCTATTGCCAACACACAGTAATTGTGTCAATTGTTTCGTTCCCTCCTTTTCCATTCCATAATTGCACTGTAGCCAAGGGACAGAACTCCGACTAACCGGCTGTCTACTGTTGTCTTAGTTGACAGGAGAGCCAATTTTTTTGATATTGTGTCTGCCTTTTTCTTAGTTCTTCATTGGTGACTATTTTTTTGTAATTGAACAGATAAAACATAGTTATCAGAAGGAGCCTGTGAGACAGCACAATCGGCCACTCATGCGTCTCATAACAGTATATACATTTATTTTTCTGGAGTGCATGGGATGACAGAATAACAAGACGGCTAAGCTCAGCTTACGAGACATTTTTGCAGAAAGTGTCAACATGGGCAATGGAATGAATAAGGTTCGTTATGCATGCAGTCGTGATTGAACCTGTATTTTTGTATGGTCTTTGAAACTCTCCATGTAGACCCCCCCCCCCCCCCCCCCCCCAAAAAAAAAAGCAGTGTTGTAAAAGTTGACTAATTAGGGGTGTTTTCTTTGAAGATGGCATGCTTCTAATAAGGAACCAATAGTGTACATACAGGGGGTCTCCATGGCGAAGTGGTCAAGCCATTTGCCTTACACTTGAAAGGTTGTGGGTTCATTTTATGGCAGCACCGTTCAGTTCACGAGTGCAATTTTTATAGAGATCCCTGGGTGTCGTCGCAGGAACTACAGAGGTCATACTCTGTGTGACGCTTTTGGTAGGCAGCTGGCCATTCTGTAGAGTCTGAGCAGAATGGGATGAAACCCGGTGCAATGAAGTTCATCCTCTCACATTTACCTTTAGTGTGCATATAAATATGCGAAATTTGTCAAGTAGATGTGCACACAAATTTCAATATTTGGAACAAGACCAAAGTCCAGAAGTAGATGAGCAACCACAACTTTCCTGCAGAGTTAACAGCCGTTAAATGCAGAGAAGAGGAGGAAAGGTCTTTTTAAACATTACAAAGTGACTTTCAAGATGCCTTATAATGTGGCATTGACTTCATCTGTCCTACACATTGTGTCATGACTGCTGCTCCCTTTAACAGTGAATTCTTATTCTAGCAGGGAGCAGTTGGTGTTGACACTCTTTCAGCCACCTTATGCATTTAACACTCATGCAGGTTGCTGGTCTTGCCAGGACTACTGCCTGTTTCACTTTTAAAATTAAGCAATGATGATCATTTTGCATGGTTTTTGCTAACACAAAAAAGAGAGAACTTACTGGTTTACCAAGTGTCATGAAATTGAAACTACAGCTAAGTAAATATTAACTGGGGTGGGGGATAAATAGAAGACCTACGGTTTCTGTAACAAGCATGTTGGAGAAGTCGACTAATTCGGGGAATGTCCTTCAAAGTCGGAAGGCATCTGCCTGAGAGGCAGAAAACCAAAAGTCTGCATAAGATAACCCATATCTGTAAAAATATATGCATGCAAAACTCAAGTCTGGAACAAGACTAAGTCCAGAAATGGAAAAACAACCAGCATTTTCCTTTGGAGTTTAGAGTCATTGAACATAAAGATGCAAGACGAATAATTAGTAAATCCTTCAAAGTATAGAAGAAGCAAATAGACAGATCAGTAAATCCTGCATAAAATAGGAGGAACAACAAAGATAAATTTGTAAACCCTGCATGATACAAAAGGAACAACAAGGATAGATTAGCAAGTAATACATGATATAGGAGGAGTAAGTAAAAAAGTAAATGTCCCTTTTCCATGCCTTTAGGCGTATAGGGCATATAGGACTAGACCTATATTTTTATAGACCAATCGGCACAAGATGGGTGATGTGGTTAGCGTACTTCACAGGACTGCACCAGTACCCACTCAAGGCTGGGTCGAACTGGGAGCCAAGGTCATTTTTGAAAAAAGTCTGGCTTTGCCAGGGAGCAAACCCACGACCTTCCTATCCGCGGCAAGCGTCTAGCCGCTCCGCCACGGCGACTCCCATAGAAGGAGTGGCAAGGATAAATTAGTATACCTCACAAGTTATAGAAGGAACAAACAAGGATAGATTAGCAAGTCATACATGATATATGAGGAACAATAAGTACAGTTGAGGAAATTATATAAGACATATATTAACTATGATTGCAGATTTTGCCAAGCCTGTACATAGGGAATTTCCGTGACGCTAAAGATGAGAAACAGCTGACAGAAAATAATATCACACACATTGTGTCTGTCCATGACAATGCTAAGAAAATCCTTGAGGTAAGCTTTCTTTTGACCACTTAGTCTTTAATTGTATTCTTCATCTGCTTCTGTCCGACTCCTTTTGCCATAAAGCTTCAAAGAGAAGAGTTTATGTAGTTTCCTGTCTTTTGCTAGTTGTGAAGCAGGTGTTAGTGAACCACTGGCTTTGTGTAGTGTCTCTTTTACTCCCTGCACCCATCTCTTTCTTGTGGATCTCTTGCCTTGTTGCCTGCTGTTCTCATGCAGTACACTCTAGCTGCAGGCTGATTTTGTTCCATCCTGAACAGGTGAACAAACCATTTGATTCTTTGATGTTCTGTGAAATCACTTACTGTTGCTGTGCCTACCATTATTCTCAGTTCTTCATTGGCGACTGTCTCTTCTTGTTTTTCTAGCCTGATTTCGCGTGCATCTCATCTCTCATTGTATTCAAAATTCCCTGTGTGGGTTCCGGGGCCCTATTATAGGGAAAACAAAAATAGAACCACTGCCTACCCAAAAGCACGTCGTAAGAGTTGACTAATTGGGAGCTTCCTTTGAAGTTGGAGTGCATCTGCTTGAGAGGCAAGGAACCAGCAGTCTGCATACAAGTGAGTCAGATCTGTAAAATGGATGCACACGCAACACTCAGGTTCTGGAATAGGACTGCAGTCTGAAAGTGGATGAACATCCAGAACTTTTTGCCAGAGTTTACAGCTAATGAACAAAACACACCTAAAAAAAAAAAACCACATTAAAAATATATATATTTTAGACCACTTGGCTGTTGGGGTAAAAATGACTTCCCAGGACTTTTCCTATAACCTTTTAAGGCTGGGCCAACCTGAAAGCTGAGGTTATGTTTAAAAAAAATCCAGCTCATGAAGGTTTGAACACGTAACTTTCAGATCCAAAGACAAGCATCTAGCCGCTCTACCATGATGGCTCCCTATTCATCCTCGCAGCATGGTCAAGAAATCTTTATTGTCTACATTTACTTCACTAAACAGTTTTCAGTTCTCCTGCATTTCTTCATCCCTACTTTATGTTATCAGTGCCAAATATGGACAGTAAACAGAGCACTAGAACTGAAAATAACTACATGTGAAATGTGCTGTCTTTAAAATATCACTAACAACACAAGAAGAGACAGTGTTAGGAATACCAGCATTAGAGAGACAGTCAGAATAAAACCATGTCTGGGTTATGTTTGCAGACAAAGAATGAAATGGTTCAGCCATCTAGCGAGAATGCAGCCAGACCAAACTGCATATGAGACGTTTTTACAGCAGAACATCTGCGAAGAAGGCAACGGGAAGACCAAGAAAGAAACGGGTAAATAATGTAGCAGAAACCTGCAAAAAGATGAACAAATCCATCACCCAAGCCACCAGAGAAGCTCAAGACACATACAGAAAATCACAACACTGGGCTACAACCTGGTATCAGGGATTCAACAAAAGAAGAAGAAGATGCATTTCTCTAAGAACTGCTGCATTGTTTCCATGTTCATCCAGATAATTTTTGTGTATTTCACTGTCATGCCTATTGAACGTTCATGCCCAGAGTGGCCTTGATATCCTGTATCCACCATTCTATGTGTCTTCTTCTGCATGTTTTTCCTAGAACCATACCCTCCATTACCGTCCTCTGCACCTGATACCTGAAAACAGTGTTACGGCAGGGCAGATCACTCCCTTAGCTTTGGTTGGCAGCTGATCTAGGTTGGGAGCTCTGATAGGCAGGCAGACAGGTTACAGATGTTATGATCCAGCAGTTTCTGCAGTGCTTTGTTCCAAATGTATTTGTATTACCTTTCTTTTAGATCAGCAACGTGAGGGAAAAGGGTTGGGGGCAGGCAGAGAGAGAGAGAGAGAGAGAGAGAGAGAGAGAGAGAGATCATGGAGGATGTGGTCTCTACAGTTCCTCCCAGGCTTTATTCTTTGTGCTATCTAGATCTTTGTAAGCTGTGTGTATTTGTTTGTGCTCTTTTTTGGTCTGCCCTGGGATCTGAATTTAGCTTTTTGCTTCATATAATGTTACCATCACTAACTTGTCCATTTGGTTTGATTTTGTTCTGCATGGACAGGACAAGGAGTATCTGTGCATTGTGGCCAGTGATTGTCCAGACCAAGACCTGATCAAGTTCTTCCCACAGATCAACAAGTTCATACACAAGGCCAGGCTGGAAGGGGGATCTGTGCTAGTTCACTGGTGGGTCATTACAGTTCTGTTTCAGCTTTGTCACTGTGACAGTGGCAGTCACACATGTCACCAATGTAATCATTTCACACATCGCTCATACCTGTCACAAATGTAGTTCTTTCACACATCACTCATACATGTCACAACTGTAGTTCTTTCACACATTACTCATATGTGTCACAAATGTAGTTCTTTCACACATTACTCATACGTGTCACATATGTAGTTCTTTCACACATTACTCATACGTGTCACATATGTAGTTCTTTCACACATTACTCATACGTGGCACATATGTAGTTCTTTCACACATCACTCATACATGTCACAACTGTAGTTCATTTACACATCGCTCATACATGTCACAAATGTAGTTCTTTCACACATTTCACTCATACATGTCACAAATGTAGGCTTCTAATACTTCAATTATACATGTCACATATGTCAGAAATATATGTGATTTTCATGATTTTTTATCTCATTAGAAAGTATGAGGTATAGGAGAATGTGAAGGGAAAAAATAATCATAATCATAATAACATGGCCAATGTGTGGTGAAGATGATCTTTAAAATGAACAGTGAACAATGAACAGTGAACAATGAACAGTGAACAATGAACAGTGAACAATCAACAGTGAACAATGAACAGTGAACAGTGAACAATGAACAGTGAACAGTGAACAATGAACAGTGAACAATGAACAGTGAACAATGAACAATGAACAATGAACAGTGAACAGTGAACAATGAACAGTGAACAATGAACAGTGAACAATGAACAGTGAACAGTGAACAGTGAACAATGAACAGTGAACAATGAACAGTGAACAATGAACAGTGAACAATGAACAGTAAACAATGAACAGTGAACAATGAACAGTGAACAATGAACAATCATAACAGGAAAGCCAGTATAGTGTTAGATATACCTATATTGTTTAGTCTGATTATTACCCCATGCCGTAAACGTCAGACTGTCCAGTATCTTCTGTCTCGGCCACCCTCTGCCTCCTGCCCCCTCTGCCTCCTGCCCCCTCTGTCTCAGCCACCCTCTGCCTCCTGCCCCCTCTGTCTTGGCCACCCTCTGCCTCCTGCCCCCTCTGTCTCGGCCACCCTCTGTCTCGGCCACCTTCTGCCTCCTGCCCCCTCTGTCTCGGCCACCCTCTGCCTCCTGCCCCCTCTGTCTCGGCCACCCTCTGCCTCCTGCCCCCTCTGTCTCGGCCACCCTCTGCCTCCTGCCCCCTCTAACCTTCTTACCTCACAAAGATTGAAAATACATAAGATAGAAGGTTGTGGATGACGCGACTACCACTGTCATATAGCATGGGGTATAAGAAGAGGAGTTAGTACTTGATGGGCTGTGTGGTCAATGACATGCTGGCCACCTTTTCTTTCCAAGACATTACCTGGTACAGTGCAAAGATTAAACAGCATCAAAAGTCTCTGGTTAAGCACCGGCAGGGAAATCAATGTTAAAACTTTGAGAGCATGCATCTTCACTGTAGTAACATAGGGATGTGAGTCGTGGACTATCTCCCAGTCCTTGAGAAAGAAAATATGGGCTTTTGAGCTGAAATGCTATAGAAAGATTCTCAGAATACCACCGACAAAGAAGAGAAGAAATACTGACATTCTAACAGATCTGAATGTTAAAGAAGATTGGGTGATAAGCAGCATCTTGTCTCAGATGCTGGAATATTTTGGTTATATGAAGTGCCTTGGCAGATTGAACAAAAATAATAGAAGGCCTGGTACCAGGAAGGAGAGGCAGTGGCTGACCAACAGGAAGATGGGCTCAAGACTTAAGTGTCTCCTTGACTATGAAAGTACAGGAGGCGGGAGAGCTAGTGAGAGACCGAGTTTATTTCAGGCAGACCGTGATGAGAGCAACGTTCTGCAAAGTACTTGCTACATTATGATGACTTGGTACAGTTTTCTGGCTGGGTTGACCTGGGAACCAAGGTAAATTTTGATTAAGGGATGAGGGGGATGGAGGGCAGCTTAATACAGATTTGATTTATAAAAGACAAAATAATGAATAATTTAGCGTGTAAAAATGTCATGAATGTAATATAAGTTTATGCTAATCAGTTCCAGCAGCTGATTAGGAAATTAATGAAAGTACATTCTGTTGATATTTCTTCTTGTAACAGTTTGGCTGGTGTATCCAGAAGTGTGACAGTAACGGCAGCATATATTATGACAGTGACGAACCTTGGCTGGCGTGACAGTCTCAACTGTATACGAGGGGCCCGGAGTGTGGCCAACCCTAACTTTGGCTTCCAGAAACAGTTGCAGAGTTATGAGAGTGAGCAGTTGGAGGAGGTATGTAATACAGCTTGATAGAAGAAACAGCTATTGGATGTGGACATGTTATTGTATGGATATCCTTTGTCACATTAAGCGGTGCATGTTGGTTGCAGGAACAACCATTAGATGTGGGGATCTGATTGTTGTCACAGGGTTGTCTATTGTCACATGATTGTCTGTTGTCACAGGACACGGCCATCTTGAGATATAAATAGGCCAACTGGGTCAACGGGGATTCCCGTTCTTGTGCAAGAATGGAGTCCCTCTGTGTTAACAGTTTTTATTGAGGAGATGTATACACAAATTAAACTACAGTTTCATTAATTTTCTACATATTTTATAGAACTATACGTTATTTTTAAGGTAAATAAGTGTGCTATTTAAATATAACAATAAACGCTCTTACAGACAAACAGAAATACTTTTGCTACAGTCAACATGAACATAAACATCAATACTGTTAGTTATTAATAAGTAAACAAGCGGCTGACTTGCTTAAATAGTTAAGTAAATTATAATTACATGATACACAGCAAAATGATAATGACAGTTGAAAACATGCTGGGAATAGATGGCCCTAGAGAACTACAGGGAAAGATTTAACAGTACATTACAAGAACAGAGGTTAATATACATATATATATATATATATATATATATATATATATATATATATATATATATATATATATATATATGTTAAGTCAGTGAAGCACATTAAAACATGTTTTTTTTCCACTTACCCAGAGGCAGCTTAGAAATATCCTGACACAATTTATCCACAGTGAAGTTGCACCATTTATGCACAGTCAATAGGAAAGTAATAATTTTCTTTCAGAGTAAATTTCATAACAATACTAGGGCACTACTAAATATTTCTCCTCTATACTGTATAGAGTGTATATACAAGTCAACATGATCATATGGTTTAAGATGAGAGATGACAACATTCTCTCCTTATTTAATGTGCAAATTTGTGCAGTTTCCTCTTGTTAGATGAATTCAGTTCCTTATCATTGTGAATTTTTTGGTAATTATTTAGGAATATATTACACAGCGGAGATAGCGCTTTTGAAATAATACCCGACTTTGGACACCCATTGGCACACACACCATTCACTTCATCAGCATAATATTTCTGAATACTGCATGTTACAATGCACATAAGTAGCTTCTTGTGCTGTTTACATGACATGAATTTAGCTTCTAGTTCTGATGATATGAGCCTCTGCATAGCAGCATAAGACACAAATGTCAACAATGTAATCAACTTAGAAGGGTATTTGAAGCCTCCTCGATCCATTAGCTCGATATACTCAGTGGAGAAATCTGGCTGAACATCAACAGTTAATGTTTTGTCCATTTGTAGCAAAGTCTTACATGACATGCACTGAACTTTTCTGGTGATCTTACTAGAGACAAATCCAGCAATATAAATTAATACTTCCTCTGTGCCTTCAACACAATACAACTCACAGTCATTAGGATCAATGTGGAAAAATACTTTGTCTAGATCAGACTGGATGACATCAAAAACATTATGGCACTCATCATCCACTGTGCTCACAGCCTCTGCAAAGTTGCGAATTGCAAAGTTTCCATAAACAGATGATGTCAGGCATAAAACAGAGTAAACCTTCAATTTCTTTTCTGCTTCCAAAATTTGTTTCACCGACACAAGATAGTTTGCACCTGACAATTGTCGATATTCACTAAATCTGGCTTCTAAATTATCTGTTTGCAGTTTTCCCAAAAGTAGGAATTCCACATTAAAAGTAGAAAAAGAATAGTCAGCCAGTTCAATCACAGCTTTTACAGTTTGCAACAAAGCAGTATGTGTCTCTCTTGTTAGTTTTCCCTTCAAAGCAGGCACCTTAGTCCATTCAGTCAACCAAACAAGAAAGTTTTTCAAATAATGAAGTGATTCATCATTAACTGAAGTGAGTGGACTGGCAAATATGTTACCAGTATTTCTACCTGAGAATCTACTCTTAACATTCATAACATGCCACCACCTCCAAATGGCTTGAATAAAATCTGCTGTTTCTTGATTTCTTACAAACTTTAGAGCAGCAATGTTGTACTCACTGAAAATAGCAAGAGCTAGGGAAACATTCTGCCTTTCTATACTGGAAGGGTAAAGAGCTTTATATCTTAAAGTTGGTGCTAACTTCACAATGTTGAGGCGCTCGTTCTGGTACAGATCCTTCAGATGTGAAAAAGAAGCACTTGCTACTTTGCTGGTATAATTTGAGGTAGATGCTGCATTCAGCATTAACCCAGCTGTGGAAGGATATGAAAATGTCTGCTCTGTGTCTTTCTGATTTATCCAATTTCTCCATATACATTTAAGCAGGTGAACAGAGTCATATAGAAAGAAGATTTTGTTGCCTGGAATGCCTGGATTTTCTATGCATATACTGCTGGACTTGGGAAGATTGTTGTACACTTTGCGGTTAACAGAGTAGTTGTCTGCAATAACTGCCAAAACTGTAAAACCACATTCTTGAACAGTTTTGATTATCTGAAGCAATTTTGCACTTAGATCCTTTGATGTCATTCTGTGCATTGGTGCCAACTCTACAACTTCATGGTAACTACCAAATACAGAAGAAATCATTAAAAGCTTGTATTGTTGTTGCTGAATGAGTGGAGTTTTCAGCTCTAGCAAGTAACCGACCTCCTGAGTAATTTACAGCTGATTTCACGTGGATTTCATTTATTTGCAATCTTTTCCAATCTTTTCCAAATCAGAAAGCCTGCACTCTTTAAATTTTAAGTATCCAGAAATGCTCCCATCACTGTTAGACAGTGTGCAGGGTGAAGTTAAACTTGTTAATGTATTTGGATGTGGGAGACAAAATAACATAGATTTTCTGATAAATCTGTAGCATGCAGGAGATTTGATGAAAATCATATAGGAAAAACACAATGTACAACTGCTGTAGCGTCTGGCATATTTGCTCTTATTAATCAGTTGAATCTGTTCTGTCATAAACATTAATTGCTTTTCAGTTGTCTGTACATTAGTGTCCTCAGATGATAACAGTAGTTCTCTAGCAATATCTAAGTTACTGCAAGTTTCTTCCAACAAATCACTGAAACTCTTCGGAGATGTTGCGGAGTTAGTCTCCTTGTAACGAATCAGTAGATTTTCTAGTTGCGACCATCTTTCCAATTTACTTTTAGTAATAATCCAATCAAGATCTTGACAAGCAACCTGTTTACTTTCCAGATACACTTCTACACACATATGTGGTAAGATCTTTACACTTACTGATATTGATGGTGCAGTGTCTGCTTTCACACTGACTGTGTACAATACAAGACAACATGATGTACCCTCTGTGACAGTATACATTTTCCAGTTCGTATCTAACAAGTCTTTTAATTTGGTGGTAATCTGACACTGCAGCGTTTCAAAATCCTTTACAATATTCATTGATAGCCACTCGCTGTTATTATTTTCATATCTGCTGACAATTTCTGATGCTCGTTTTTAGGATTTTTGCGAGCTTGTGGTACTTCAATTGATAAGTAGACTGGCAGTTCTGGAAACACAGATGAGATGGATATGCATTTGATTTTAAACCAGGATACCTTCTGGGTACCTCATGTTCAACACCAGATTTATCTGTAAATTTGTTCGATACAATAATATCACGGGGAAGAAAATGATGACGACACACCACGCTGTATTTATTAGGCGACCAATCTTTACGTGGTATGCACTTCTTCCATTTATCTCTCATTTCAGAATCCCTTGGGAATTTGAATACAGTTACATATTCACTCGTCGATCTATAATTAGATTTACAAAAAGGAATACTACATTTCCTAGGCATTTTTATTTATATAATCACACGCAAAACAGTTAAATATAGTTAATAGAGTATGTATCCTCAACACACAAAACATCTGAACAAAGAACACATCAGTCGAAGAAGGAAGGAAGTAGGGACTCCCTTCCGCTTTGTTATGAAATTAGTCAGAAGGACCTATAAATAGCCCTGAAGATGGGCGTGTCACAGGATTGTCTGTTGTCACAAGAATGTCTTTTGTCATATTAAGTGACATAGATTGATAGTAGGAACAAACATTATGTGTTGACACCTCATTGTCTGTTGTCACGTGATTGTTGTTACAATATTGCCTGTTGTAATATTAAGTGATATAGATTGACAGTGGGAGCAAACATTATATGTTGGCACCTGATTGTCTGCTCTCACAGGATTGTCTGTTCTCCCGTGATTGTCCGTTGTCTCATGATTGTCTGTTTTTGCAGGATAATCTGTTGTCGTATTGAAAGATGTAGATTTATAGTAGGAACTTTTCCTCTGAGGCTGATGCGCTCCTTCTTTGAAGGAAACACCCTTAATTAGTTGCCTCCTAGGACATACTTGTTCGGGCAAGGAGGTCCATTCTTTGTGCTCAGAAATAAAAACCCAGAACCTTCACGGGGGAGATAACTGATTTAAGAATCATCATGGCATAGCGGGCATACCCATTGATGCAGCTGTTGTTAGGTGTAGATGCTATGACTGTTCTAGTAGCACACTAGCTATAAACATGTTGCACTCTTCCCCTGGTCCAGAAGTCTAGGGTTCAAATCCACAACCTGCCTCTTTTTTGGGAGTCAAAAATGACCTTGGCTCCCATTCGACCCAGTCTGAAATGGGTATCAGGTATTGACCTGTCTCTAGAAATATGAGTCAAGCAACATATTCCCGATATGGAACTGGCCTAAAGTGTCCTCAAATTAAAAACATTTTTTTTTTAAAATTACATCTTCTGTCCACATCTTCTCTTGCTTGAGCGCACTTCATTCCCCATGTCTGCTACCTTGTACATACCTTCTGGATTTTTTTCTTTGCTTGGAAATTAAATAAATATCTATATCTGAAGTGCTGCCTCTAATATGAACTTCACTGTCTTTTGTAATTTACTTAGCAGCCTGTAAAGTTTGGCTCTCTCTTGGCCAGAAGTTTTGCCTAGAAATATTACCTTATATATATTGTCTCACGGCGTCTGTGGCTCAGGCGTTGTGAGTCCGGCTCATAATTCCAACATACCGTGATCGAAACCCACTGCTGTCTGCGGGGATTTTTATCGTGGTATGGGGCGTCGTAGGTCGACCCAGCCTAAAATGGGTACCAGGATGGCTGTCCTGGGGAATTAGAGACGGCCGGTGTAATGCTGACCACATTACCCACCTAGTGCTGATGGTCTGAAAAACTATGGGCGCTCTTCCCATTTACCGGATGCACCTAAAGGCGTGAAAAGGGGATGTAAGTTTATATATTGTCTCATCTAACATTATGTATGTATTCCAGTTGCATTCATTCTTATATGGAAAGTATAGTTCACCTACTGCACAATACATTATTGGCGTTTACATGAAGTCCACAACATGTCACATCTTTTGGGCCCTTTTGCCCTTATTAGGGCATCATTTCTGGTTTTGAACGAATGTTGAATTAAGCATCAACATCACAGCACTAGGGACACCCCCATAAGCGCTCGGTCCCTATCTTCAGCAGCAAACAAAGAGTTGCAATTCCGATGGCACCAGTAACTGTCTGATTGAATATCCATCTTGCCCTTCCCCTGAGTGTTGAGCATCTGCCAGATCCCCTGGTAACCCCTCACAGCGCCATTCTCCTCAGACCGTAATGATCTAACTGTGCCTCTGTGCTGTTCACTTGCTCCCAAAATGCACTCACAATATCTAGCTTGTCTATCTGCCTGCTCATTTCCCAACACACCAGCATGACCTGGAGAAAATATCCAAAGGACGCTAACTACCCGGGAAGTGATGCTTGCCACTCTGCACGGAGCATGCTTGTCTCTACCTTTCTCAACATGCTCTGTGAGTGGGTAGAATGAATCAATGAATCAAGAATTTACATCGCTGCACTCGGGACATTTCCACACATGCCCCTTCCTCAGCAGCCAGCAAAGAGTTGACATGCTAATAGTACCATTTGCAGTCTGACAGTCTGGGATTATGTTGTCTGCTTGTCTTTTCACGCAGTGACAGTCTGGGATTATGTTGTCTGCTTGTCTTTTCACACAGTGACAGTTTGGGATTATGTTGTCTGCTTGTCATTTCACACAGTGACAGTCTAGGATTATGTTGTCTGCTTGTCTTTTCACACAGTGACAGTCTGAGATTATGTTGTCTGCTTGCCTTTTCACACAGTGACAGTCTAGGATTATGTTGTCTGCTTGTCTTTTCACACAGTGACAGTTTGGGATTATGTTGTCTGCTTGTCTTTTCACACAGTGACAGTTTGGGATTTATGTTGTCTGCTTGTCTTTTCGCACAGTGACAGTCTAGGATTATGTTGTCTGCTTGTCTTTTCACACAGTGTCAGTCTAGGATTATGTTGTCTGCTTGTCTTTTCACACAGTGACAGTCTAGGATTATGTTGTCTGCTTGTCTTTTCACACAGTGTCAGTCTGGGATTATGTTGTCTGCTTGTCTTTTCACACAGTGTCAGTCTAGGATTATGTTGTCTGCTTGTCTTTTCACACAGTGACAGTCTAGGATTATGTTGTCTGCTTGTCTTTTCACACAGTGTCAGTCTAGGATTATGTTGTCTGCTTGTCTTTTCACACACTGACAGTCTAGGATTATGTTGTCTGCTTGTCTTTTCACACAGTGACAGTCTGGGATTATGTTGTCTGCTTGTCTTTTCACACAGGAAAGAAGAAAAATGAAGGCCATGTACCCTAACAATCCATTCAGAGATGAAGAAGAATGCCAGATTAACCTTCGGTGCTTCCAACAGTTTGTCCTGACAGGCAACCTTCCGTCCCGCTCTGATGACCTCTACCCCTTACCTCACCGAGCCTACGAGGGCCAGGCCCGGAGAGCGGCTTGCAACAAGCAGAATGTTCCAGGGAAGTTGGAGACCAATGTGAGTAGCGCCTCTAAAGGGAAAAAGTCTGCTTGCCACCATCGACACCACCACCACCACCACCAACAACACCACCAACACCACCACCATAAGAAGAGACAGCATGATTTAGGCAAAGCTGCGGAAGTAGATGCAAGTATTTGCATGAGCATTACAGTTCTCGCTTGTCCTCAGCCTTTGGCAACTATTCGCACCGAGTGGGCCAGCTATAACTGCAGTTTTCTGTAACCCACCATACTCAGTTCCAACTTGTTTACTTTCTTTTTTCTTTTTTTCTTTTACCCCCACCCCTTATTCATAATCAGAGGCTTCCATTCCTTGGTTATATATTGTCTTCACAATAACATGTCAATGTATGTGTATGTACCAGTATATCCAGCTGATTATCTTTAGTTGGTAGTCGCGATAGTTACCTTGTTCTGTTGCTGACAGACAGCTTTTAAGTTGATATCATTTATTTCATTAAGTGCCCGAGGAAGTTGATGAGCATTAGATGGGATGACCCTTTAAAGTTTGAGTACATCTATCTGAGAGACAAAGAACTATCATTCTGCATACAGATCGGTCAGATCTGTAAAACGTATGTGCATGCAGAACTCACATTCTAGAACAAGACCAAAGTCCAGAAGTGGACAAACAGCATGGACTTTCCTCCAGAGTTTTCCGCCGGTGGACAAGAAGAAGAAGAAGAAAAGAGATGTGATGAATTCAAGAAAAGTGAAGAAATAAAAGAAATGTATGGACAGCCAGTTGAATCAAAAGTTGCAAGACAAAGAAAAAGGCTGTAAATTGGACATATCTTGAAGAGAAATGGATAGAGAATCATAGATTGGGATATCTCAGCAGTGAACAAATAGGTTGAGGGAACAAGAACGTCCAAGAGAAACGTTACGGTGAACATTGTTGAGACAGGTCAGTCGTGCTAGATTAGACTTCATCTATGATGTCAAGAGGATTGAACAGGATAGAAGAGAATGGAGGACTTAACTGTGAGTACTATGTAATGTATAGCGACACAGCAAGATTTTGATGATGATGATAAGTTTCAGTTGCTCCTTATATGAACCATTAACAGTTATGAGGGGTATTTATAGATGTCTCTGTGTTGAGGGGCAGATAAAGTGCTTGGGGGTTTATAGCAAAAGTGAATGGATGTCGCTTAGTGCATCAAAGCCTGGCGTATGATATCACAATGTCTAGTGTTGAGAATGGAGGTGCAGTCACTGCTGCCTTCCCCTGGCTTGAGAATCATCTGTGCACACATGCTGTGACTGTCACTGACTCACAGAGCATGTTGAGAAAGGTGGAGACCGGAATGTTCCATGCAGAGTGGCAAGCCTCACTTCAGAGGTCCCGGGTAGTTAACATCCTTTGATATTTTCTCCAGGTCATGCCGCTTTGTTGGGAAATGAGCAGGCAGATGGACTTGCTGGTTCTGCACTACTTTGTGGTGAATTGATATATGACAAGCTAGATGTTGTGATAGCCCTTTTGAAGCGAGTAAACAGCGAGGAGGCAGAGATAAATCATTATGGTCTAAGAAGAATGGTTCTGCCAGGAGTTACCGGGGGATCTGGCTGATGCTCAACACTCATGGGAAAGGTGAAATGGATATACAATCAGACAGTTACTGGCACACCATCAGAATTGAAACTCTTTGCTTGCTGCTGAAGATGGAAACGGAGCGCTTATGGGAGTGTCACGCATGCTATGATGTTGATTCTTAATTCAGCATTTAGTTTTAAAGGGTACTTGAATACATAAATAGGTATTGACTGATGCTAGTATTTAAGAGTGTAGTAAAAGATTAGAGGCGATTATGTAATACTTGAAATATGAGGGAGCTTCAAATGTTCGTCTACACCGTGATGCCACTGCTTAACACTGTTGCATCTTCATCGGCGGTATAGAACATTGGCAGGGTTACTTTCATTGCTATCACACTTTTAGTTTCATTTGAAGCCCTCTCATATATAGTTAGGTCACTCGTATCGCCTAGGCTTGGAGAATTGGGACAGTGAACCTTTATGTTTTGTTCATTGTACAGTTGTTATCCTTTGCTTAGACTCCATGGCAACTCACAGCCCCCTATTTTTATTTGCTGTCATGAGACTGCGTGGTTTGTGTTCACTTGTAGAATTCCTGTAATCCTGCTGCCCTCCCATGATTCCAAGTTTTTTTTGCTTGCCAGAACGGCAATCGGAAGTTGATTCCCTGCCTGTATAGCAGCTTTGTGACTGGGTAGTGTTTAGGTGCGGCTGTCTGTTATTATATTTACTGAAAGAAGAGTTTGACTGTAGTCGTGGCAACAAACTTTTGTTTACTAGAGAGACTGCATGCGATAAATTCTCTCCTCTGTTCATTTTAATCAATTACCTCCCTTAATGTAGTATAATTCCTACCAGACCTGAGGTCCTGAACCTAACTGCCCCCCTATACCTGAGCTGCTGGGCATTAACACCAAATAACCAACATGATGTACTAAAATATTAGTTCCATGCAAACAAGTGGTTAGAATAAGATGAAACTTGAAGACATTGTAGAAAATAGGTTAACCTTTTATCTAGCGCCAATATTCCACCTTTGTGTGCCAATCCACCCAGTAGGATCAACCTTGTTTCACAAAGTGAGCACCAGATTGTTGCTGTCTGAGGGACCGCCCCCTTCTCTTACTATAGATCTAGTTTCAAATCTATAATTTTCAAGATTCTCCTCATCACTCGAGCTCTCACTGACTGTATCACTTCAAATAGGAACTTATTCTTCATGAATTTCTGACTCCTCAGAGTCTCAATCAAGCAAAGCATAGATCACCTGTTGGACTGTGAAAAGCCTGGACCTACTTCACTTTCCTGTTGAAGTGCTTGGTTCATCAGCCGCTCGTTTCATTGTGAATTTTCAGAATTTTTTTCACGTTAAACGACATAAAGTAAATCCAAAGACACAAGGGCAGTCATTCGCAAATGATTAGTTGGTTAATTTTAGTTTGTAATGCATTTTATCACGTAGTGTGCAAAGTATAAAAAATTAGGTACATCAGCTTAGCAGAAAATTACAGGAAAAGTGGTACAGCGTTCTGATAGAGTTAAACACATAGGGAGATCATGTCCTAATATATATAAATAAATTTTTTCAAAATGTCATTTTGTAAACATTTTTACCAGGCAAAAAGATCAAAACTATCAATTCATATCTGTTTACTTTTCCAGTTATTTGTTACTTTTGGTAGTGAAAAAAAAAAGGGGGGGGGGGGGGGGGGAGTTTGCTAGGTAATTTTCCTATTCTGCTACACATTGCCCTAGATAGTATTTGCTAGGTAATTTTCCTATTCTGCTACACAGTTGCCCTAGATAGTATTTTTACAGGTAATCTTCCTATTCTGCTACACAGTTGCCCTAGATAGTATTTGCTTGGTAATTTTCCTATTCTGCTACACAGTTGCCCTAGATAGTATTTGCTAGGTAATTTTCCTATTCTGCTACACAGTTGCCCTAGATAGTATTTGCTTGGTAATTTTCCTATTCTGCTACACAGTTGCCCTAGATAGTATTTGCTTGGTAATTTTCCTATTCTGCTACATAGTTGCCCTAGATAGTATTTGCTAGGTAAATTTTCCTATTCTGCTACACAGTTGCCCTAGATAGTATTTGCTAGGTAATTTTCCTATTCTGCTACACAGTTGCCCTAGATAGTATTTGCTTGGTAATTTTCCTATTCTGCTACACAGTTGCCCTAGATAGTATTTGCTAGGTAATTTTCCTATTCTGCTACACAGTTGCCCTAGATAGTATTTGCTTGGTAATTTTCCTATTCTGCTACACAGTTGCCCTAGATAGTATTTGCTTGGTAATTTTCCTATTCTGCTACATAGTTGCCCTAGATAGTATTTGCTAGGTAATTTTCCTATTCTGCTACACAGTTGCCCTAGATAGTATTTGCTAGGTAATTTTCCTATTCTGCTACACAGTTGCCCTAGATAGTATTTGCTTGGTAATTTTCCTATTCTGCTACATAGTTGCCCTAGATAGTATTTGCTAGGTAATTTTCCTATTCTGCTACACAGTTGCCCTAGATAGTATTTGCTAGGTAATTTTCCTATTCTGCTACACAGTTGCCCTAGATAGTATTTGCTAGGTAATTTTCCTATTCTGCTACACAGTTGCCCTAGATAGTATTTGCTAGGTAATTTTCCTATTCTGCTACACAGTTGCCCTAGATAGTATTTGCTAGGTAATTTTCCTATTCTGCTACACAGTTGCCCTCCATGATATTGAACAGACAGCTCAGGTTAGAACAGAAAGGATGACAAGACTGCCAGCTTATTTGCTTATTTTCATTTGTGACCTGTACTCCCATTATTAGCACATAGGAAATCTTTTATGAAGTTGTGATCTTTACTAGCACAATTATTTTGTCATCGTCATCCTTATTGTCCTGTTGTTGCCATTATCTGTCACATAAGGCTGGCAGTCTTTTCATCCTTTCTGTTCTAACCTGAGCTGTCTGTTCGATATCATGGAGGGAATCCGGTCCAGTAGCTTTTACCTTTCTCATCAACATTCACCTTAGGGTTTCTTTTGGATGAGCTAAACTTATATGCTTACACCTCCTCCCCCCTCCAGTTTAAAAAAAAAAAGGGTCAGTCTGTGGCTGAGGTGTTGTAAACAGGCTTTGTAATTCTGGAATACCTTGTTCGCTCCAGCTGCTGGCTATTAGGCAGCAAGATCACTTTGCATTGATTTCGACTGTGGTGTGGGGCAGAGACCATTCTGAAAACAGCGGCAAAATACTCAGGTAAAGTAAAACAATGGCAAAATGCTCAGGTAAATTACCTAGTAAAACCACTACAGCCTAAAACACAAAGGAAAAAAACAAAAAATGCTGGGGTTGGTTCTGTGATGTTCTGTAAAGGATGTGCAACTTACTTTTTTTTATTTACTTGTTCACATCATCTGTTGCATTTCTACTGACATCTGAATTTGTTTATTTTACTTTATTTCATCCTTTCTTTCATGCGCCATTGCATTTCTGCTTAAATGTGTATTCAATTATTTGTATGTCTTTCTTTCATCTATGCAGTTGATAACCATTTCTGCCCTTCTTTTTTAATTTTATGTATTTAATGTCTGCCATAAT